TGGAGTTGCCCCCCGGGGGTCGCCAGCGCTGCCACTATGCTTGGGCCTACGATGACATCTCTGCCCTCACTGCCTCCAACCTCCTCAAGCGCTACGCCGGGAAATACTCGGGGGCCCTGGACTCGCCCTACGAGCGCCCGCCCCTGGGCGGCTACGGCGACGCCACCTTTCTCAATGGCGCCAAGGGGGACCCTGAGTCCTGGCCTGGGCCGGAGCCGCCCTACCCTTTGGCCTCACTCCACGAGGGCCTCCCGGGAAGCAAGCCAGGCGCAGGGGGAGGTTCCGGGGGCCTCGGGAGTTCCCCGGTTGTAGCCGGTAACCTGCCTGAAGCCCTGTATGCGGGCAATGCGTGCGGGGGCCCTCGGCGGCTACCCGGCACCGGGCTCCTGCGCGCAGTCCAGCGCCACACTGGCCCCGCCGCCCCCGCCCCCGCCCGGGTACGGCCCCTCGGCGCCGCTCTACAACTACCGCGCGGGGGGGGGCTACGCGGCGCAGCCCGGCTACGGCGCCCCCCGCGCCCCCGACCCCCTGCCTACCCCTCGGGCCTGGCGGCGCCCACACGCTGCCCGCGCCCGCGCCGCCCCGGCCCGCGCCCACCTCCTACGGCTTCCAGGCGGCCGTGGCGGGCGCCGAGGCCGGCGTGTCGCTGAAGCGCAAGGCGGCCGATGAGGGCGCAGAGGACCGCTACCGCAAGTACGTCTACGAGCCCGCCAAGGCCCCCGCGGCCGACGCCACCTCCTACCCCGCCGCGGACAATGGCGAGTGTCGCGGCAACGGGTTCCGGGCGAAGCCGCCGGGAGCCGCGGAGGAGGCGTCGGGCAAATACCGTGCGCGGCGCGTGCCTCTCAAGGTGCTGGCTCCTCCGTCTACGGCCCACAACTTCAGCCTTTTGAGAAATTCCCGGAGCGGACCCCGGCGCCAACTCCACGAGGAGGCTTCGCAGTGCCGTCGGGGGACTCTCCCAAAGGTGTGGACCCGGGGGCGCTAGAACTGGTGACCAGCAAGATGGTGGACTGCGGGCCCCCGGTGCAGTGGGCAGACGTGGCAGGCCAGAGCGCGCTCAAGGCGGCGCTGGAGGAGGAGCTGGTGTGGCCCTTGCTGAGGCCGCCCGCTTACCCGGGCAGCCCGCGCCCTCCGAGGACCGTGCTGCTCTTTGGGCCGCGAGGTGCCGGCAAAGCGCTGCTCGGCCGCTGCTTGGCCACACAGCTGGGCGCCACGCTGCTGCGCCTGCGCGGTGCGAGCCTGGCCGCGCCGGGCGCCGCCGAGGGCGCGCGCCTCCTCCAGGCCGCCTTCGCGGCCGCGCGCTGCCGCCCGCCTGCAGTGCTCCTCATCAGCGAGCTGGATGCGCTGCTCTGCGCCAGGGACGACGGCGCCAGCGCCCCGCTGCAGGCGCCGCTCCTGGCCTGCCTGGACAGCGGCTGCGGCGCGCGGGCTGACGGCGTGCTAGTCGTGGGCACCACCTCGCGGCCTGCGGTGCTGGACGAGGCGACCCGCCGGCGTTTTACCCTCCGCTTCTACGTGGCGCTGCCCGACAGTCCCGCCCGAGGACAGATCCTGCAGCGGGCGCTGGCCCAGCAGGGCTGCGCGTTGAGCGAGCGAGAGCTCGCGGCCCTAGTTCAGGGCACCCAGGGCTATTCTGGGGGCGAGCTGGGACAGCTGTGCCAGCAGGCAGCGGCTGCGGCGGGCCTCCCGGGACTGCAGTCCCCTCTCCTACAAGGATTTGGAGGCGGCGCTAGCCAAGGTGGACCCCAGGGCCTCCCCCACGGAGCTGGACGCGTTCGTGGAGTGGGACAAAATGCACGGCTCCGGACATTGACGGCGCGCGGGGGAGGCCGCGGGACTCCCCGGCTCTCCCTCCCTCCGCGTCGTAGGAGTTGCGAGGGCTCTGCCGGTGGATTTGCTTTTCGTGGGAAGGAAAATGCACTGCCAGGCAGATCGATGCCATATGCGCCGCGTACTCAGGTTTTTCCTATTTATTGTGGACGGGAAGCTCTCCATGTCTGCCGGGTGGATGGGGGGAGGCCCACATGGGCTGGCACCCCGGGCCTAAGGAACTCCTGCTTTCTCGCCGCAATCCTTTTGTGTCCTCTCTGTCCGAATGGCTCGCTCCTTCCCCATTCCCCCTCTGCATTTGCTTAGAATTCTCTTCCCCTCACTTTGTCATTACCCTCCCCCCAAGCCTCGACGCTGTCCCTCTTCCTCTTGCTCCACCCTTGTCTCCATCTCTCCATCTATCACCCTCTGCGCTTCTGCTCTCTCCTGTTCATTCTGGTGTGCCCGTGCTACCGTCCCTATGCTCCAACGCCCCTCCCTGCCTTCTGTCCCTCTCATTCTGTCTCATGCCTGTCCTTTGGCAGGAGATCTGAGGGTAGTGGGGCTAAGGAGGGGGGAGTAGGGAATCCCTCACCCACTCCCTTATCCCTTACCCAGCTGAAACCCTGGGTCTTGGGGAGGGGAGGACAAGCAAAGGAAAAAAAGAAAAAAAGAAAAAAAAAAAAACACCCAAAGAAGCGGTTTTTTGTTTGTTTTGAGGGGAAGTCCCAGAAGCGTAGCTTGTTTAATGTTTTAGGCCTCTTATTTTTGTAAGATGAGTAGAATTTGCTGTTTTTCTTTTTCTTTTGACAACTCAGGAAGAAAGTGACCTCAGAAAGAATGTTAGAATTTGGCTGCTCTCCCGTGTGCCCCCATCCAGGGGAGCAAATTGTCCCAGAAGACTCCGAGAGACCGTGGGGGGAGGGCAGAGGAAGACCCAGACACAAACCCACTGTTCCTGGGACAGAAGCAGAATGTATTTGTAAGGGCTTCCTCCCCAGGGCCCGGTTTGTGGGCAGGAGTAGAGGGATGGAATTTGAGGGGGGTGGGTAGGTCTTGCTCCTCTCAAGCTTCTTTCTCCTCTGGGCCCCAGCCCTCAGCTTCAGGTTTTCTGTGAAGGGCTATCCAGAGTTGGGGTGCTCTTCCACATTTCTTGCCCTAGATAGGGTGCCCAAATTTAAGGTGACGAAGGCAGAAAGTTCCCAGAGAGGTCATCTCACCAGGCCCTTCCCTGCCTAGGGAGAGGTACCCCATAAAGTCTGCCAAGGATTCCCCCAGGAGGGAAGAAGGTCTAGCCACAAGTCCCGTTGGGCTCAGATTCAGCTGCTAGCCCTCAGCAGCCTTCTCTCTGAGAGCTGTGGGAGGGAGAGCATCCCTCAGCAGAGAAGGTTCGTGAGAAATGTGCCTCCCTGCTCCCCTAGAGTCCCAGGCCTAGGCCTGGAGATGGGCAGGGTATTGTCCCTGACATCTCAGCTCTGAGCCTGCTGACAACCATATTCCTCTCCTTCCCATCAGTTTTTCTTGATGGTCCCCCATTTCACAGCCCTGAACTTTGGTCCAAAGGGGGGACACCTCACCCTCCTCCTTTCCTCCCTCCTGCCCCAGCCTCTCCTGTCCTTCCCTGCCTGCCCCTGCAGTCCTAGTCTGCCACCTGTCTCTCCCAGAGGGAGACATTTTGGCCCAGGGTGCTGAGGGCTGGTGCTGGCCTAGGAGGGCTAATAGAAAGCTGCTCTGTGTCCCCTTTCACCCTTGGTCTCTCCATGAGCCTCCTCTCTCTGGAACCAGCCAATCAAGTGCTGGGCTTGGTGCCTCAAAGCAGTGTTGCTGCCAAAGATCCTTTAGGGAGCAAGGAGTGAGGGGGTTCTCTCAGGTGTATGTGTGGGTGGGTAGGTGGAGGGTGTTGTGGAAGTGTGGTTGGGATCCCAGCCATCCCTTCAAGAGGCAGGCAGCCCTATGTGTGTGTGTAGGGGGTAGAACTGGTGGACCAAGCCCCAGGGTCCCCACTGGTTCCTCTGCTGGGATCTTCCTGTTCCCCAGGCTTGGGAGCTTTGCACAAGAAGACAGCCCCCAGTCTATGGCCCCTAGCTCAAGGGCACAGGGTGGGGAGGCAGAGCAAGTGCAGCCCTGGCAGTGTGTGTGTGTGTGTGTGTGTGTGTGTGTGTGTGTGTGTACATACCAAAGAATCCAGGGGTGGGGTGTGGGCAGGGCACGCTGGCCCTCTGCTTCCTCCACTCAGATTGGATTGGGATCCTCCAGCTGTAACCATTTCTACCTCATTTTGCTGTGTGTTGTACATGGACGTATTTATCTCCTGTCTGACGATGCTCTGCAGTTGTGGTCTGTCTACCTCAGAAGAGACTGTATTTTAAAAGAAAGTATTACACAGTATTAAAGTGATGATGTGCTTTCCAGAGTGGGGGGGGGGGAATAAGAACTGCTTGATTCACTTCCTGACAGAATTTGATGTATCTTTGGAATGTTGAAAATAAAATTATAATAAATACAGGATAGATGCTTAAGAAGATAGACATATTTAGTTGATTTAAGCACGATATAATATATACATGTATTGAAACACCACATGGGCTCCATTAATACATTCATAGTTTTATGTTTTCATGTATCAGTGAAAGAAATAAATTTAATTCATAGTTCAAAAGAGTAGAAAAAAATTTAAGTTTTTTTTTGAAGTAAAGGAAATAAAACAGAACTGCTTCAAGAGATGATGCAGTGATAATAACCCAATTACAAAATTTCTTCCTGACTCTGAGAAGGCTTGTTTGATGTTTCAGAAGTTGTTTTGGGAGCTCAAGCAAAATCTTTTGAAATTTGCGTTGTATAGATTCATCAACACATCATCATATGACTGTTGTTATAGAAGCTCCTCTCCTGGCTTTCATTTGTAGGAAACGTCAACATGACCCCATAAAAAGAGCACGAATTGATAAAGAACCTCCCTCAAAAAATATTTAGGAGCTGTTTCCTCCTGTAGACAAGTAGTTTCTGATGGGGTTTGATTTGGCACTGTGCAGTCTGTGCACCTGGCATGATGTTCTTAGTGTTTTTTTTTAATTAGAGTATGCATCAGTGGTGACATCAGAAGCAAAATGCATCAGAAGCAAAATGTTCAGACTTGCTAACAAACTTAACTATAACATGCGATAAAATTATAGCTCAGATCATAGTAAGGAGGTTGCAGATTCCTCCAGTTAAAAGAGACCCAACAGTGTCCATTTAAGTTCCTGGTACTGTGGCCAACATGTCTGGGACCTGACCAGAGCCCAGTGATCTTCCTGGAAGCCCAGTCGGGGCCTCGCTCCGAGTGAATGAGACAGGCCTCGCTCAAAGCAGGTGGAGGCCTACTTTATCTACTCAGAGAAATTCTAAAAACCAGATTGATGCTTACAAGAACTGTATAGCATTGGTAATGCTAATATTTCATCTGAATTCCTACCTCAGAATACAGAAGGGTCTTGCAAAATGTCCCTACTCAAAAAAGGTGCATCTATCCACTTTAGACATTTCAGCGGATGCTCTTTCTTGTTAAACTCATACATAAAGTCTATTGCATCACTAGTTGGAGACTTTTACAAAAGGTGATGGGACAGCCCGAGCTACTTACTCATATTATTGTCATTTTCATGAATTCATAAATGAATCACTGACTGAGGAAGCAGAATTTTACAAATCTTCAGGCTGCATCCAAAAACCTGTACACAGCACTCTGACAACTCTGAGTTGTGCAAAAATGTATTTGGATTCTGCTTCTAGACCATAGTTTATGCAGCAAACCTGCCCACTCACCAGACTACAATAGTAAGCCAAGGCTAAGAGCTATGGGAGCATTGTTTTAAATATCAGATTCATTTAAAATTCCCTGACACCTGAACATCATATGGGTGAATTCATAAATGTTAACTGTCTGAAAGCATAAGCAACGTGAGATCCACGAAATTGAACTGTAAGCACATCCAAGTACAATCTTTTTTTTTTTTTTGGCAGTACTGGGATTTGAACTCAGAGTCTCACACTTGCTAGGCAGGTGCTCTACCACTTGAGCCACTCCACCAGCCCGTTTTTGTGTTGGGTATTTTTAAGATAGGGTCTTGTGAACTATTTGCCCAGGACTGACTTTGAACCACGATCTTCCTGATTTCTGCCTCCTGAATAGCTAGGATTTACAGGCGTGAGCCACCAGTGCCCAGCCCCAAGTGCAGTCTTTAGGACTAGCTTTTCAAATATCATAATACAATTTCAGAGGCCGATTTGGGAAGGATGCATTCTAGCTCTCGGTGGTGTACTCTCCAGCGTGATGGTCTCGTCCAGCTTTCTGAGGCCTTGCACACTCCCCAGCATTGTAGCTCAGCACCTTCATGAGGCTATGATCTCTTCATCTCAGTCACATCAGGATTCAATCTTCCCTGATCCTCCCTGTTGGAACCAATGGCACCAAGCCCTTGACTTTCATAGCATTAAAGCTATTTTGTACTTACTAGAAAGTCAGACCTGTGGAGAGGGAAGGGAATCTTGCTTGTTTGCCCATGCTCCATTCCCAGAGCTGAGCATGACTTCCCCACGAAAAGCTCTGATCAGATATTTCTGGATAAATAAATTCGAATACCACTTTCTCCAGTCTTCTCAATGTACTTGTCTGAGTATTGGGAAGAACAAGAATGCTACAAAAGCTGTGTTTATTCAGCCTAAATTCTCCCCAGGACCCACATGCCATGTATGTGTTAGCCTCTGTGGCTGCTGTAACAAATTACCACAACTGGGTGACAACAGAAAGGTTTCCTCTCACATTCCTGGAAGTTGCAATTCCAAAGTCAAGGTGTCGGGAAGGGTTCTCTCCCTCTAGAGGCTCAGGGGAGAATTTGTTCTTTGCTTCTTCCAGCGTCTGCTGGCTGTTGACGGACCTTAACTTGTGGCCTCATCATTCCAGTCTTTGTCTCCATGGTCACATGGCTCCTTCCATCACACTTGCCCCATCTGGAAAAGCCAGGG